TCAAAGATCTGCAAAATTTAAAGTTCAGTTCAGGTTCAATTGAACTTGAACCTGAACCTAAATTGAACTGAACTGAATTTCGGAACACTAACTGTCTCTGTGTTAGAACAGTTATTGTACATATTTGAAGAGTATATTTAGTTATACCTGCACTTTTTGAGCATCTATTTAAATAGTCTGCCTATTTCTAGATTCTATACTATTTGCTATATCTGCAACCCAACTAGGTGGTTACTTATTTAAACCCTCTACACCTATGTCCTACATTAATTGGCATCCTTTCTTCAATTCTAAGAACCAGTTTTGCAGACATACATTTCACATATTAACTTAGAACTACTTTATACTTGAGAAAAACCTAGTAGAGTTTGCAATATTCATACTCTATACCACACCTAGTCTTCACTTCAGTTTGGTACGCATAAACTGTAGCCTACTACTTGCAACTTAGTTTTATCTATTCTGGAAGTGTATATAGTACCAAGTCAAGATCTTTGTCTATAGTTTTTCTTCTAGCTTAAACTTTCTTTGCTTTCTTTCTATAATTTAATCTCAGTTTGGCTAAACTTTATTACCCAAATCTACTTCTGCCTTTGTAGAGTTCATTCAAATCCCAGAATTTACTTTACAGTATATCTCCAGTACTTTAGTAACCCAGCTCCTCTTACTCAAACTTCCAATTCAGATAGCTTAATATATAATTACTTATTTTTTTTCAATTCGACAGTGGCCTAGTTGGTATTGGTGATTTTATCTATTTGTTTGATAGTAGGAGCCTCAATTCTGGTTCTCAAACTTCCAAGCTAGATAGTCCAATAACTATATATTTTTTCTCTGTATCTAGACAAGTATTCTCTAAAGAGTAGCTAGTAGGTTTCCTACTATTGCTATGACTTGTCTGTAATTGCAGGGCTCTCTAGCTAGATTCCTGGTTCTCTTTCTTATTTGCAGTAGTCTGAACGCAACTTTAACACCCTGTATTTTATCTAGTTTAGTTCATATGAGTTCTGTTTCTTGGGTCTAACTTTTATAGTAGCTCTGTCAAAGATCTGTGCTATCTCTCTGCTCAAGACTTGCTAAGCAGGCTTCTATATTTGTAGTTCTCTAGATTTATATAGCCCAGATGCTTATTTTATATTTGCATCACCCTATTATTAGTTTGTATTTCTTCGTATAATATTATATTATACAAATACCTTAGACCTTCTAGTCTTGCTAGTATGACCATAGTTATAGGTATTCTATTCCAACTAATCAATCAAATATAGTTAGCTATAATACAAGCAGAATTTTCAAATTTTTATTACCAGTAAGATTAGAACTCTTGACCTGCTACTTGAAAAGTGACAACTTAACCACTTCACTATGACACTACACCTCTATTATTTTAAGAATTTACAATATGCAGCTTCAATTCTTTTTTAATTTTTTTCTTTGTAATTCTTTTTTGTTGCTATTACAGTAGCTTTATTATTTTTTTTTGAGGTTTTTTTATAATAGTTTTCTTTATATTTTGTTTTTTGTTTAATTCTCTTTTTTTATATTATTGTTTTTTCCTTTTTTTCTTTTTTTTTTTGTTTTAGCGATCCTTTTTTTATTATTTATATTGGCATAAAATTATCTTGTAGAGGCTAATTTACTTGTAAAAATACATATGCCTATACTAATAAAGAATGACTCGATCTATTTAACAAGAACCTATAATAGATTCCACAAGAAAGATCCAGGTATGACCCATCTAAGTAGTTCATCTTTACCTCATCTGGAATTTCTAACTTACTAAGAATTTAAACTTCAAGAGTCTACAGTAGGTGTCTATCGACCTTGTCAGGATCACTGCTCTATAATATATCACCAATCTGAAGAAAAATTCCCAACAACAAAAAAATCTAGAAAGCAAAAAAGGGTAAGAGGAGGGCCATTTATCAGCTAATATTTTTTTATTAAGAGGCTACCCCTCCCCTTATCTGATTTTAAATAAAAAATTTTAATTGGCTAAAACTATATATCTGATAATTTTTTTTATCCTCTTCTCCTCTAAAATATCAGCTGATTTCTGGCGCTCCCCTAAGGGGAATACAAAAAAGGAGATATTTTTAAAAAAAGAATATATAAGAAAGCAAGTACTACTAAAAAAAAGAAAAAGAAAACAATACAATACAAGACTTTAGAAACTAACTAACAAATTGGTACTTGCTAACCAGGATACTTATCTACAAGATTATAGTAATTACATATAATTTAGCTGACATAAAAAAAACTAACTAAGTGTATTTTAACCTATGCTAAGAGCTAAAAATTATATACATATGACTTTGTTATTAGACTGTATATCTCAAATTCTCTTTATCACCCCAACTTTTAAATTTATATTTCATTCCAAAATATAACAAATGTTTCAACTTCATATATTTTCCCAGTCATGTTTCATCTAATTGGTGTGTAAGTTCTTAAAAATCTTCCGAGTCCTCAACATACCAGAGCCACATTCCCAAATAAAAAATAAATGCTTTCCTATGTAGTCACATGTTTTTTGTATTTATATTACAGAGTTGCCAAATATAGAAGTAGTAAACAATGCTAATCTTTTGATGGAGATAGCCAGATCCCTACTTTTTGTTAAAAATTGATTTTGGAAGTGTTAAAGCGGCAAGAGAAGTTTTGGTTTTGCAAGTTTTCAACTAAAGAGAGTTTTTTCAAGAGTTCGTCATATTCTTCTGTTTTTAAACTTTTTGAGTTTTTTTTTTAGCTTACTGTTTCCAGAGACTTCTTTGGTTTGGATGTTAAATACAAAGAGAAGTCTATCTAAGAAGACCTAGAAAAAGGCTTGACTTCTTTGCAAACTATCTAAAATGTCTGCTTCTCAGTATATCACGTTTAAAGACTTTGTTAACAACAGTTTGTATTAAGAAAACTTCAAGTTGTTGTTAACTTCTGGTCTTGAGTTTTTAATTTGCTTTCAGTACTAGTTAGTCCAAGTAATCATTAGAGAGAGTTTGTTACAAGAAATTTTTGTCTTTTTTTTTTTCTTTGATTTTGATTCTTTTGATCTACTTGTATTATTTTCTATTTTTATATATAAATTTTTTTACTCTAACAACTAATTATTATATTTTACTAATTTTGTTGTTGCTTGATCTTTATTTTTTTAAAAAAACTATAATTGCTATTATTTTTTGTCTTCTATTGCTATTTCAGAGTATATATACTAACTTGGCTCTTCTGTTTTTTAGACTATTAAGTAGTAGTATTTTTAATATATCTTTTAAGATTTTTTTTAGTTTTGCTATTATGTTGTTTTGATTATTATATTTTTTAAAGTCTTCTATATTTTCTATAACTCTTGCTAATTTTTTGTCTTCAATAAAGATTGTTTAAGAAATTATTTTATTTATCTTTTTTTTATTTTTAATACTGCTAAAGTCTTTAAAAAACTTTTTGATTTGTATTTCTTCTATTTTGTTTATTCTTATACAGATATATTGTATTTTTTGTTATTTATTTCTTTGAGTAAATTTTATATTATTATACAGTCATACCTCTTTATAGTCACCTCCTACATAATTACAAACTTCATATAATCACACAATTTTGTACAGACATTTTTTTTTATATTAAAAATACCTTTATACAATCACAACTATAGTATAATCACTATCATATTTTTTAAAAAATTTTTTAAACCGATTTATTAAGAAAAATACTTCTTTATAATCACATTTCTTTTATTAGTTAAAAATGCTTAAGCATGATTGGCTAGCTAAAAAATTATAAATTAAAAATTTTTTCAAAAAGTATACTTGAACCAATATTGTTAGAGATACACAACAAAAAACTACAGAATATAATTGACCAACTCAGCAAAACAGCAAAAGTATTCTGCAAAGAAGCAATTATAAGTCACAATAAAATTAGATAGTAGTGCTATTTCCTGCACACAAACGTGAAGAAATCATAAAATAATATGCTTTTTGCTTTAAATAGTGCAGAGTGGTTTCGAAAATTTTTTTCAAGCATGGCAAACTTGTATCTCATTACAACACTGTGAAAAAAGCAAATAGAAGTTATAGTAAAATTAGCTAATAGAGATATTTCGTGTTTGTAAACCTGTTGTAAGTGATAATAGAATAATATGCTTGTGTTTTTTTCTTGGATAGATCGATTTTTTCTTGGTACTAGCAAATTTGTATCCCATTCAAACACAAAAAAAGCAATTAAAAATCACAGTAAAATTAGTGATAGGGCTAACAATGAAATAATATGCTTGTATTTTTTTTTAGATAGTGCTAGGTGATGCAAATTTGTTTTTTTTTTATTTTTTTTATTTTTTTTCAGGCATTGGTAAACTTGTACTTATGTACAGATATACCTCATTCAAACACTGCAAAAAAATATTGGGAGTTGCAGCAAAATTAGCTGTGAGACTATTTTTTGTCTGCAAACTAATTGTAAGTGAATAATGGAATAATACACATTTTTTTAGATAGTGCTGGATGGTCGTGAATTTTTTTTTTTTTGAGAAGGCACTGGCAAACTTGTATTAAACAAATGATTCTTTATGCCAGGCATGTGCTGAACGTATATGCTGTTGGCATTATTATCCATATTTGTTTTTGACTTTCTCACGCCTGCACTCCTTTTAGTAAGCTATCATTTTATATATTAAATATTTTTGTTAAGGCTTTATGGTAAGTTTACTATTATTAGTCTTACCATAATGATAATATAATGATTTGGTTTTGGTTGTGTTAATTATATTGCCATGATTTTTATTTTAGTGACCAAGTTTTATTATGGGTCAAGGTTTATTAAAAGTTTCTGTGAGTCAAGTCTCACTATAAGCCAAGCTTTACCATGATTCAAGTTTTACTGTAGATAAAGCTCCATATATTCAAGATTTTACGGTCAGGTTTTACTGTATTCAAATTTGGTTGTAAGCAAAGTTTGCAGCAGATAAAATTTTGCTATAAATGAAGTTTCACTATTTTTATCGCGGATAAAAATTTTCTTAAAAGAATATAAGGTTTTAAGTTTAGAATATCAAGTAAAAGAGCAAGGATGGCTATTAGTAGACATTTGAAACGAGAAATTTGTGAATATAGTGATAAATTTCCAAATGAAATATATTCAAATATTGCACAATATTTTAATCAAAAAAACTCAGCATTAAATCTTGAACATTTAACTGTTTCAAAGATTTTAAAAGTGAAAGACAAATAGTTGGCAATTATTGATAATAAAGCTAACATGACTATTTTTTACCATAAGAAAGTTAAATTTCCTTTATTAGATAAAGCTATGCAGTTGTAGCTTAAGCAGGTTGTAGATAGTAAAATCTTTTTAACTGAGGCAATTATTAAAGAAAAAGCCAATTTTTTTCCTTGAGCATTAGGTTTGCCAGATAATTCATTAAAATTTTCTAATGGCTGAATTTATAAATTCAAAAAAAGAAATAACCTGTGTAACTATCAGTTACATAGAGAAGCTAATAGTACACTATTAGAATTATTTCCAGAACAAAAAGCAAAGTTACGTGAAATAATCAGAAGATATCCTTTAGAAATGTTTTTAACACAAACGAAACAGGTTTATATTTTTGCATAGCACTACATCAAACACTCACATCGCAACCACAATCTGGATAGAAAAAGGTTTTTTTTTTAATTTGTTCTGATATGGTGCACATCAAAAAAAAAATAATTGCAAAAAAGTTTAATTTTTTTAAAAAAAAAAATTTCTATAATTATATTTTTTAAAATTTAAATAATATAAATATAGAGAGTTTTTTTTAAAAAAAATAGTTTATTATAAAATTATTTTATTTTAACAATATATGACTCTAAAAATTTCAGCACTATTATAAAAAAATTAAAAGTAATTATAAAAAATTTAGCCAATCATCATTTTTATAAGTAATGTTCTGTAAAATTTTTATCATTTTTAATGTTTCTAGATGTTCAGCACTATACAACCCAACTAAAAGTATTGTTAAATCTCTTAAGCTCGATCCTGTCAAAATTGATAACCGTTAAAACTAATTTATCAAATCTGTCTCTACTATATAAATCTAATAGCTCACAATACTTAAAATCTGATAAACCCTCAATACTGATACAAAATCTTCCACCATGCATATTGTTTTTGGGAGGTTCAGCAGTAATAGAATTATTCAGTTTATTAATTTTAGGCATAATTTATTACCTTTAGGATCGTATACGTATTACAGTTATACTGGCTACAAATGCGACTAGAACTGAAAAACTACAACCAATAGTAATTGGGTCATCCATTGAACCTAATGCTTTAGTTCATTTAAATTATAATGCTTTACCTGTAACATATTGTGCAAATCTAAAGGCTTGGATGTGGACCGATATTTTCTATAAATAGCTCTTAAAACTTGACAAAAAATTTCATTTAACAAACTGGCAAATTTTGTTGTTAATTGATGGCACAACAAGTCATTATAACCTTAATGATAATAACAATCAAGAACTGGATGAAGAATTGAGTAGTGAAGAAAGTTCAAGCAATGAAGAATCAGAAAGTGAAGAGTCAGAAAATGAAGAATCAGAAAACGAAGAGTCAGAAATTAAAGAATCAGAAAGCGATAAATTAGAGAAAGAAATTCGTACAAGCTCTTCTAAAACCCTATATACTTGATATGGTTATCTAAGATTAAGTACTGGTAGTATTAATAAACAAAAAGAGTAAGATTTTTTTTGTGATCGTGGGCGTGGTTGTAGACATGGTCGCGTGTATGATCATAGTCATGGTAGTGATCGTGGTCATGATCGCAAGCGTGATCACAGGCGTAGACAGGCTTCTCAAAATAGCAAAGGCTATTATGGAACTGGTCATTCTTATAGAATTCCAGACCCTTCTAATATTCATTTAATTGGCAAATCACGAGTCATCTGAACAAATATATTTTTTTTTATATATAAATTTTACTATAAGCTCAAATGTGGAGTGCGCCTATCTAAACCTTTTTTTTTACTAAGTAAATCTCTCTTAGGCTTGTAACAAAAGTTGTAAAG